GGACTAGAAGACCTTCGGGGTCCCTTCCACCTGTATTCCGAGTCTGGTTTTTTGTGCCGTGAATCCAGTGATACGTCTGAGGAACAGTTGCTGGAACTGGGTATATCTAGTCTGACAAAGAGGAGGATTAAGGGGTGACAGGATAGCAGTCTTCCAATATCTCAGGGGCTGCCCCAAAGAAGAGGGAGTCAAGCTATTCTCCAAAGCACCTGAAGGCAGGACAAGAAGCAATAAGGATGGAAACTCATCCAGGAGAGAAGCAACCTGGAACTGAAATGTCCTAACATTGAGAACAATTAACCAGTGGGACAGCTTGCCACCAGAAGTTGTGGATGCTTCATATCAATGGAGCAAATAATTAATTTATTTGCTTGACAAATTTAAGAAGTTCTTTCTCCCTCCTTCCCTCCCTCCCTTCCTCCCCCCCCCCCTCTCTATCATCTATCTATCTATGCATGTATGTATTGTGGCTGTCAGTTGTGTTAATTTATTTGCTTGACAAATTTAGCAAGTTCTCTTCTCTCTGTGTGTGTGTGTGCGTGCGCCAGATCAGCATACTGCTGCACATTCACAAGGGCAAGTCAAGCAGCATCTGAGGACACCGCCTGAATAAGATGAGACCAGGCAGAAAATGGACTTTAACTGGCCCAAAGGACATGCCTTAATGTAGGTTACATAAAATGATTTGAGACACAGAATTTTCTCTGAGTCACCTGGGAGCCACCTGAATTCACACCACGCATACTCAATTTCTCCTCTGAGCACACAGGCTGAGACACTCAAATCTGTTCATAGAGTGAACATCTGAACTAAAGACCCCGGATTTAATTCCAGGTAGTCCTCGACTTACAACCACGATTGACGTCAGTAAAATGAGTCAGTTGTCAAGCATCTGAATTTTGATCATGTCACCATGGGGAAGCTGTAATGGTCATAAGGGTGAAAAACGTGGCAAATTGGTCATGGCGAGTTGGCCATGAGTTGGCCACGAGTTGGCCTTGAGGAATTGGCCATGGCATGTTGGCCATGAGGAGTTGGCTGTGGTGAGTTAGCCATGGCATATTGACCATGAGTTGGCCATGGTGAGTTGGCTGAGGTGAGTTGGCCATGAGTTGGCCATTGCGTGTTGACCATGAATTGGCCATTGCCTGTTGCCCATGAGTTGGCTGTGATGAGTTGGCTATGGTGAGTTGGCCATGGGTTGGCCCTTGTGTGTTGGCCATGATGAGTTGGCTGTGGTGAGTTGGCCACGGTGTGTTGGCCATCAGTTGGCCATGGCATGTCGGCCATGAGTTGGCCATGCGTGTTGGCCATGGTGTATTGGCCATGATGAGTTGACTGTGGTTAGTTGGCCACAATGAGTTGGGCATGGTGAGTTGGCCATGCAATGAATTGGCCATGATGAATTGACCATGGCAAGTTGGCCATGGCAAATTGGCCGTGATGAGTTGGCTGCAGGGAGTTGTCCTAGACCCATAAGGCAACTAGTGCAATTGGTCATTCAGAAGAAAAGTTTGAAACGTAGTTTACATTTAAACTGGGTTTCTGTTTTGCTGATTTAAGCATTCGGCTTTTAAATGAAACAAAAAACAGGGCCTGGCCAATTGTGGCCATTTAATAATTGGTCTCATTTTATTGCAAAACAGCAAAAGTGAAACTACAGCTATTCAAAAGCACTGCCATCGCGCCTTAAGCATCTTAATATGATTGTCATGCCCCTGTTGGAATCTGATTTGGAGGGGGAGGCCGAGCAGCTGACAGGGAGTGTGGCTCCGTTGGCTGTGGAAGAAACTGGGGAAGGGCAAAGTCCGGTTGGGCAGAGCAGGGGAGAGGTAGACCAAGGGAGAGGGAGTTTAGAGGAAGACCCAGGCCCACCTCCTCTTCATCCTAGGGCACACAGGGAGGAATGGAGAAGGAAGCAACGTGGGTTGTGTGGCTTATGGGGGGGGGAGGAAAGGGCCCTGATTCCCTTCATAAGCTGCAGCTGGGAACACAGTGTTTAAAAAGGGAAGCTGCGTGCAGCACATTGTTGGGAGCAAATTGTGAATTATCTGGTATCATCGAGGCTTATCTGGGTTTCTGGTGTCTTCCCAACTGTGTATGTTTTGATGGCCTTTCAAGGTTGCAATTCCTTCTCCTGCCCTGTCAAGTGAATTACTTCAGCTTGGTTTGTTTGGATTTTTAGTTACAGTTTGCATCTACTTTGTTTTCGGACTGAATTTCCTTCACTTAAAGGCTGTTCCTGGGAGAGTTTTTTTCCTCCAGCCGAAGGTAACCTGGACATTGCGGGCAAAGTTGGAGATAAGAAAGGGACTCTTATTGCTTATCTGACTGTGTTGCCTTTGTGCCAAGCCCCTTCGGGTCATCCCAATGACTGACAATTATTTGCTACCCTAAAAGTTGATTAAAGCCCTACCAAAGGATTACTGGATTACATGCAGTGACGTAAAGTTGGGCCAATCTGAAAACAGGGGCAGAGTTATTAATTTCTGGAGTAAGAGAAGCAGCTGGAAAATCATCTAGAATTCAAAATTGATCCGTTTTGAACGTGAATTCCCCCCCCCTTATAAATCTGTAAATTCAGTGTTTTTTGACAACCCTTTCATTCCCAGAATTCCCCAGCCCACACGGGGTTGGAGCTGAACTCCCAAGCCTTGCCAAGCTGGGAACCATGGGCCTCGAGTAGAGCCCCCCTGGGAGGGGATGACGGGAAAGGAAGTCCAAGCCTGCCAGCCTTAGAACCATGGGAGCTGTGGCCAGCGCCCAGGGAGGGGACCATGGGAGCTGAAGTCCAACCCTTGCCAACCTGCGAACCCTGGCAGCCGAGGCGCCTGGGCAGGGGACGATGGGAGAGGCACTCCAACCCCCCCACCCCATCCCAAGCCAGCAAAAGGGGCTCCCCGGCAGGGGCGCATGGGTTCCCCCCGTACCTGTAGTAGCTCAGCAGCCCGTGGCTGAGCACGAACCAGCGGCGCTGGTAGCCCTTCAGGTAGTTGGTCCACTTGAAGAGCCAGCCCCGGTAGGTGTCCGACGGGCCAGAGGCGGCGGCTGCAGCGGCTGCAGCGGCGGGGCAGCTCTCCCTGGCCAGGAGGCTCATGACGGCAGCAGCGGCCCGGCGGCGGGGGCGAGGCGGCTGCTTGCAAGCCAGGCACGGGACGGCGCCCAGCAGGGAGAGCAGCCCGCGGCTGCCGGCGCTGCACAGCGGGCCCACCGCCGCCGCCGCCCCGCCGCCCATAGGCGCCCCGCCGCTGCTCCGCCTGCGCCCGCGGGGCTCGCCCGACGCCGTCGCCAGGGCTGGGCAGGGAGGGGAGGGGAGGGGGCGTGGCCAGGCCACCCAGGGCACGCCCCCTCGCGTCAGGGGCGGGGCGCTCCTCGCTCCCCCGCCCCTCCCTTCTCCCAGCCAGCCGGGACTTCAACTCCCAGCGTTCCCTCTGCTCTTTCCCCCCCCCCGCCCGCCCTGGGAGGGCATTTCGGGAGTTGAAGTCCGCGGCGACGCATCTCGCAGTCCCGGAGGAACCCAGCGGCGCTTAGACTTAGAGGCCGCTTTATATAGATAGATAGATAGTGCTTTTACAGCTTCCCTCCCCGCATTGGGGAGGGGGTGTCTTCAAACTTTGACAGCTTTAAAGACTTGTGGACTTCAACTCCCAGAATTCCTGAGCTAACTTGACTGGAGGAGGAATTCTGGGAGTTGAAGTCCACAAGTCTTTAAAGCTGTCCAGTTTGAAGACCCCTGATCTATCACCTATCAATCTATCATCTCTCTCTCCATACCTGCCTGCCTATTTACCTATCTATCTATGTATCTATCGATCTATCACCAATCAATCATCTATCCTCTATCTAATATCTATCTATCATCAATCTATATCATCTATCTATCATCAATCAATCTATCATCTATCATCAATCGATCTATCATCTATCTGATCTATCTACCATCTATCATCTATCGATCATCTATCAATCATCTACCATCTATCATTCTATCTATCATCAATCTATCTATCTATCATCAATCAATCTATCTTTCTATCTATCTATCTATCTAATTATCTAAGTCTGTCTATCATCTGTCTATCATCTATCACAAGGGTCTTCAAACTTGGCAAGGGAGTTCTTGGCAACTCCCAGAATTCCTGAGCTAACATGGCTGGAGGAGGAATTCTGGGAGTTGAAGTCCACAAGTCTTAAACGCTGTCAAGTTTGAGGACCCCCCTGGTCTAAGCGGTTTACAGAGTCGGCATCTTGCCTCCAACAATCTGAGGCCTCATTTTAATGACCTTGGAAGGATGGCAGTCTGAGATACGGTTCATCTCCACCTTTTCTGCCCATCTCATGTCCTCAAGAGGGAGCGTGCCCCATCTGGGTCCTGGTGATTAAACTGCCCCCTTACAGTCCCAGGAACTGCACCTTCTCGGTTGCAGCTCCAACCCTCTTGAATGACACCTCCCCAGATTCACTTAACCGCCACAGCAAAAAATCAAATCATTGGGCGACTGTTAGAAATTCTGTTTATATATAGCACTGCAGAGCAAACAAAGAAGTGGTGGGATTCAATTTTTTTTACTACCTGTTCTGTGGGCATGGGTTGTTGGCAGGGGAAGGATACTGTAAAATCTCCAGTCAGAGGTGGTATTTGCTGGTTCTCCGAACTACTCAAAATTTCCGCTACCGGTTCTCCAGAACTGATCAGAACCTGCTGAATACCACCTCTGAAACAAAGGGAACAATCACCATGTGCTTTACTCCTCAACTATTTCACTGTAGCAGGAAACAGGAAAGTCTACTTAGAATGAAAAAGCATAGAGTATATATCATGGATCCAAACTTGTAAACACTGCCATCTACTAGGTGTTATACTGGGATGACAGAGCTATTTAGCTGGGCTGGGCTGGGTTGAAGACTTTTTATTAAGAAAACCAACAGGATCGGGTGTTTTTTTCAACACGGTTTTATTCTGATGAAATGGCGCGGTAAACGCCATTTCCCCAGCATGATTCCAGTTATCAGAGTCGGCTCGGCTTGTCCGAGGTTTTTGCAGAACTGGAGAGATGATTTTCCATCGTAAAAGTTGAGCCTAATTCTCTCATCTGGTTCCGTTGGTCGATCTCTTCCAACATCTTCTGATAATAGTCGTATTCTTTCTTCCACCGGAACGTCTTTTTTTGCTGGTTCTGGAGAAATCTCCTTTTCATTTGATCGAACAGATTCTCGGCTTTCTTTTTCCTACGTTCAATTTGCTGTTTCTGGAAAAGATCAATCAGCAATCAATGTTTTAGGCAAGGAAGTAACCCTCGTAAGGGCGAGAAAAGAAAAAAAAACAGCCCAAAAGTCACCGTTTCTTTTCAGTGCTGTTGTAACTGGATTCCTGACATGCTCGGATTCCTGAACCGCTGGTGGGAATTCATGCAAGGTTTCAAAAAAACGTACCTTAATGTCCTGGACCCGCTGAACGCTAACATTGTCCTGGATAATCACCTTAGCCAGGTGGCTTTTGGGAAGGAACCTCTTCAAAGCAGCTTCGCTACAAGTTTGCTGGCTGGAGGGGGAGAAAGTCAGCCGGTTAGAAGGGCAGCGCCATCACGAGCGGGGCTGAACAACGACCTGTGAACTTTGGCACAATCAACTGCCCATCGTTCACCCCCACGGAGAGTTGCTGGCTTCAGGAAAAGTATGTACCCTCCTCCTTCCCTCTTCCCTTCTTCCTCTCCTCTCCTCCTCTCCTCTCCTGCTCTCTTCTCCCCTCCCTTCCCCTTCCCTCTCTTTCCTTCCTTCCCTCTCCTCTCCTCCCCTCCCCTTCCCACTTCCCTCTCCTCTCCTGCTCTCCCCTCTCCCCTTCCCACTCCCTCTCTTTCCTTCTTCCTCTCCTCCCCTCCTTTTCTCTCCTGCTCTCCTCTCCCTCCCCCTTCCCCTCTGCTCTCCTCATCTCTCTCCCCTCCCTTTCCCTTCTCCTCCCCTCTTTCCTTCTTCCTTTCCTCTCCCCTCCCCTTTTACCCTCTTTCCTTCTTCCTCCCCTCTTT